AAGTAAATCTACCGAGAAGTCAAGCTCGGCGGCGGCCGTTATTCCACAGGGTAAATCTACCGAGATGTCAAGCTCGGCGGCACCATTTCATCATATCTTGTGATATTTTCGTTAGTGGACAAACGAACATTTCAGCTCTGTGTTATTTATTCGGAAAAACGTGACCAGCCCACAGTAGCGCCACTTAAGCCACTGAAATCAATACACTCGACCAAATTACTGGAAAAGTTATTGACGTGAGCCGCACACACATTCCACTGAAGGCTTTGATGATTCCCTTGAAACGTGTGAAATTGAGAGGTGTAGTGTAAGTGAACCAGCGTTCAAACACAATCATTGTGCCCCGGCATTCACCACAAAAATGTGGTCTTGGGTCATTCTTTAATATCATCACAAGTTAAGAAGACTTGCCAGTAACGGTTTCCGGCATTTTATAGTAAATTTCAGTAATTGTCTACATGTGGAATTCCCAATATTAAATAAAATTAATGATTACATCTAAAACTTTGTCAACTGTTTGCTTTTTAACAGTAACTGGGCCAGGTTGTTCAAAGCTGGGTTAAGATAACCCAGGCGAGGGTTAATGCGAAATTTGAACTCAGATGTGAGAGCTTCATTTTGCCAACAAGTTGATGATTGGACGCTCTTAAAAATAACTGAGAAAATTATCCAAAGAAATGTTTTTTAACATAAGAAAAAGAAACCCGGGTTAAGCCCTGATCGGCCGTTAAACAACTGCGCCTTGTAGAACATCTATTGCGCCAGTAAAACAAAAAGTTCCTTTTACACGCCCGAAGCACTCTACGTCACTCTGGCCAGTGTCTCCTCAGATAACAAGCACTTGAGACGAACCATACGATATCACGCTGATCGCTAGCGTTCAAAACCTTTTCATTATCATACACAGTTTAAATCGGGGTTTCGCTGTACGCAACTGTTACGTTCAAAATATGCGATAATCATATCTATCGCGAGAACCATCGACCCTTTCCCCTCAACTGCTACTTGTACGCCTAGCAAACATATCGAACGCACTCTTCTAAGTACCTATTACTCCTAGTTAAATATGAGAGAATCCTCAGTCCAAGTACGAAAAAAAAGGAGCGCAAGTTTAAGACGGCTCAGGTTTCCCGTGACTTTTCTCCAATCCCAGAAGATAATAATTAACTTTGGATTTAAGTTTCTAGATTTTAGTCGGAAGAAAATGGAAGCGTTTTGATTCTTCCCACCCGACCACTGCACTCATGACTCCGCTTACGAGTCCTAGCCTTGTACTTGTGGTGTCAGCCATTATGACGGGATACGTTGACCAAATAAAATTACTACCTTTTTCAACAAACGCGATGGCATTGTTACAAATTGCGACAGCTTTTATAATTATAGACTGCAAAACAGTCCGTATTTTTGCGTGTACGCGCGAGCAGTCAAACAAATGAGGCTGAAAACAGAGAGCAAGACTGGGGAGAGACGCTAAAAATACTAATAATTTTTTTTCTCTCGCCTCACAAGCCCTACGGGCGTTTGACGCTCGCGCGCTTTGCGCGCGTAAGACTCTTACACCACACACTCTTTATCGATTTCTTTACTGATTTTGAGAAAAAACCGACTGTTTTGCAGTCTATTATAATTACAAAGCGCGACACGGTTTGAATTGCCAATTGCAACAGGACACATGTTGGTAATTGGTGGGTGTAAAACTAGGAAACATAGGCACGCGTTCCCAGTTTATTATTTTTCGCTCCTTTTGGCTATCTTCGCAGGCGGCCGTCGCAGTTTGCCATCATCTATTAGTCTTTACACATTGTTCATATCACCTTCGATGTAACCAACCATGGGCTTCCTTCTGGAAGCTGATTTCAATACGTCTAGTTTATAGTGCGAGACTTCTTTAAGAAATAATCGAGCAGTTTTTCAGTATTCGACCTGTGTTTAATTTTCACAGACTTGCTCTTCACAAGTGTAATATGCCTGCTCTCAGCAAGAGCTTTTCCTTTCCAGGGCTGTAATCCGGAGGCAACATCAATTGTGTGGGAGCGTTTTGATTGAACATTTTATAAGAGTGGGGTAAAGGAGAGGTTCCACGCACGCCTGACGGACATTTAAAAGTAGAAATAACGCACCACGGGGATTAAAATACCGTGTTCACGTTTCACGTAAATTTCCAAAGAAACAGAACAGTGCATGGCTGGACCTGTTCAGAATGCCGCTGTCTGCAGAGTTAATGATAAGAGTCGATCTTTTGATTTTTGTGCCTTCCAGACAACTCGTGCAGAGAAGTAACGGAAGTCAGCTAAACATACAATGAAATGTAGGTGAAGGTAAACTGATGATGACCCCGGCTAATGCTGACGGATATATAGTACTCAAAAGGAACGTCATTTGCCTTTCCCTTATCTCAAAGTTGAGACAACCGGGAGGCTTCTGCTACGAGCAGTGACTGGTCGTAGAAAAGTCATTTCATCCTCGTTGTCGTCATTGTTTATCGCATAGGCTTTGCTCCCGTCAGCGGATTTTTCTAACCGACAGAGTTTTATTCCAATCGAGGATCCTAGACCACGCTTTTCGGACTTAGCTTTCAAACCAACGTACTCAATGATGTGGCGTTTAAGAGCTTCAAGAGATGATATCTTACTGTTTATGGATATTCGAATTCGTTCTTTACCTCCAAGAAAACCCACGGATCCCACAGATTTGGAATCTACACAATATCTTTCTCCGTTCAAGTTAAAAACGTATCCCTCTAATGTAAAAACTGTCGGCCATCGCAACCGAGATCCCCACGCAAACCCCACTTGTGTTAGCTCCACGAAAATGAGAGTTGAATTATGATTGGTTAAAAAATACTGACTCACGAGCTCACGGAAATCGTTTCCCAGCTCGGGATCGCATACGCTTCTTTCTCGGCGGGTAAAACAAGAGCCGAAAAAGTTGTCTGCTCTCGCAGGCTAGGTCATAGTTCAGGACGACATTTGTAGGAACGACTGTAAGGGCCGGTTATGTAGAGGGAAGACCAACGTAGTCCGTGGTTTAAGAAACCATTGGGACTACAGATCTCTTTCTAAGTGGGTAATATTGTGAAAATAAATGTTTCTCCCGTCTAACCTTTTGTTGCCATGAAACATTTCACGATAAGCGGTGTTTAGATAAAAGCGCTGACAAAATGGAAAATGGCTTAGAACACGGTTTTGTTGAACTCTGGCTAAACTCTGGCTAAATTCCGTCCTTAAAGTCATTTAAGACCTGTTAAAAGAGTTTATTTGAAGCACCACTTGCTTCACTGTAAAATTTGTTTTTTCACGAAAAAAAATTAGATGAAAATCACTAATATCGAATGAAAGATTTTAATGTTCACGTATCACGACAAGCAACCATTCACAGTTCCCGGATTTTCATTTCGTATTTTCACCTTTCACGAAAATTAAAAGCACTTAATCCTGTATCACGCAATAACCTCTTTCACCCCCTCTTACAACGCTTTTTTTGTTTATTTATTTATTTATTTATTTATTTTATCGTTGACCTAGACTTTGTAGCGGTACTGGGTCTGGAACGAATCTATGTGTGAAGTAACGCTTAGGGTCTTAAAATTAGTGAAAAAGAATATTTTGCCTTAGTTTGTTTCAATTCTGTAAGTGGTTCGTCTGTTTTTTTTTTTTATACGGCAGGCTCTTCGTCTTTTTATCTCCTCTGCTCTTCTAGCATTAAACGTGCCCTAGGTTGAATTTCTTGAATTATTTCCCAATTTTATTCGAGTGGGTAATAATGTTTATTCTATGTAAGTCTGCGCTATCAAGTATTTAGTTGTTTCTCTATAACATCTTACGCTTTAGGAAACTTTATCCATGTTTCATGACTGAATCAACAACTTGGATCCCATAGGCAGATTTGGAAGAAAGTTTTGGAATATTTACTTGCTAAAGTTGGGGGACTTGAAGAATTATCTTGAAAAATAAAATGT